CCAAAGATATCCAGAGGCTGGGTGACCCCAGACCCAGCTGGGAACCACCACCCTGTCTGAGGTGTATTCATGGGGCCAGCCCACTGTGAACTCTTGAAACCGTCACGAGCGAGGGTTGTTCAGGATTATCCGGCCCCGTCGTTGGAGATGCCGCGGGTTGGTGAGCCACCTGTGCGTGCAGCAGGCAGCGTGCAGGGAGCTCTGCTCGTGGGAAAAGTTCAGGAAGGAGGCAGGAAGCCTGACCAGGGAGAGGAAGGAATCACGCTAGCAGTTTAAAGAGATGGAAGCGAGTGGCTTGTTCTGAATTGTCTCAGAGGTGTAGACCAAGGGGCTGCAAATGGCAGGGTCTTAGAAGTCTGTGTTTTTCTAAAATGAGCCCGTCTGAATTTTTCAACTGCACTTTCAAATAAGAGCTGCATTTTCTGAATCCACCTGTGAATGAGGAGAGCAGCTGTCCTTTAGGGACCCGTGGGAACACGTCCGTAAGGTGACAGGCTGCTCGCAGGGTGGGGACAGTGGCGAGGGTTAGTGGGCTTGCTGAGGGCATGTTCCCCTGCCTGGCCGCCCCCCCCCCCGCCACGGCCGCCTCACTTTCTTCGGGAAGGATGAGAAGTTCTTGTTCATGGGTGATTTCATCATGTCCTAGAACATAATGGCAGTTGAGTTCTCTTGGCGCCGGTGTTGAGAGCCTGCTTTCTGGCCTGTCATGAGTTTGTCTTCCAGCTGCAGATGGCTGGCTCTGTAACGAGCGCTCAGGAAGGAATCTTGGTTTTGTGCCTCCTCCTGTCAGGCAAGAGGCGAGTGCTTTTTTGATGACGTGGCGAGAACCACGCGGTCTGTGGCTTTCCTCAGGGGGACCTTGGTTTGGAGCCAGGGGCCTGCGAATCCTAGTGCGACCCACTGCCAGGACGCTGCCAGGCGTCCTCTGGGAGGGCACCGAGGTCTCCACAGCGAGGCGCTTTCCCTCAGGCAACCAGTATCCGAGTTTCCTCTGCAGGGTTCTGCGCTGGGTGCTGAGGGACCCAAAGGGCAGTGGGTCCCTGCCATCTGGGCTCCTCCTACAGTAGGAGAAGGAAGACCGTGTGTGTACCCACAGCATAAGGTAGAGAGTGATAAATGCCATGAGACAGGCAGAGAAGGCAAGGGAAAGCAAGGAGCGCTGGTGGCTGAGCCCATCCAGGTCTGAAGAGTGGAGGAGACCCTGGGGCTGGGCTTCAACAGATGTAGTTGGAGACAGCCAGGGGACACTCGGGGTGAAGGGGCCTCAGCCTGAACAGTGCATGAGGCGCAGGGGAGCATAGTTTCAGACCAGATCAGGGGATGCTGCCTAGGGATTTTCAATTTACATCTAGAAAATTCAAGTGAAAATGTTTAAACAAGCACAGCTGGGGGAGAGGGGGGGTCCTGGCTAGGAAGCTAGGTTGTTCCTAGCTTCCTGTTTACTTACCCCATGTCCTCCTAGCTAATCTGGAGGATTGCTGGTGAATCAGAGGAAGTGGAATCTAGGACCCGAAGAAGGAGGTCCCGAGAAGCTGGGTGGGGTGTGGGCGTGTGCGTGCACGTGTGTTGTTTTTAAATCCCTGTAATCCTGTTCAGTTAGTCCAAACGCTTGGCATCTGTTGGCTTGTGTAACAGGCATGTACAGGGCTGCGCTGTATTCCTGGGCTGGTCAGACTTGGTTTCTAGGCCAGCTTTCTGCCCGATGACAAGGCAGCTTTGTGAATCACCAGCCGCCATGGTGCAGAAAGGTCCAGGTCATGATCTGACTCCCAGCCTAGTGTGTCTCCCACGTAGGCCTGGGAATGCCTTGGAGAGCCTTGGCACCTAAAGAGAATAGCCTGGAACCTCGCTTCGGGGGTAGCACGGCATCGTGGGAGGTCGGGGCCTCTGCAGCCTGTCAGGGGTTGTAGAGCCGTGGAGCCTAGTCTTCTGCATTCACCTGTGCCCCCTGCATTCCAGTGGCCCAGCAGGTTGACAGACCTGGGCCAGTAGCATGTCACTCCCTGCTACTTCTTTTTCCCTAAACAGTTTTGGGATTCCCCCAACCCTACTGGTATCAGAGTGACCCAGTAGAAGCATCTCCAGGATTCTGGATGAATGTTTACTATGACTTTCAGAGCAAATATTGGTGTACTCTCTGGAAGGTGTGACTTCCTTTATTAAAGTTTATGTTCCCTGTATAAAATCCTAGAGAAGGTAGGGCCATGTGAATTTGCCGAGTCTGAACCTTGTGGCTTGGTTGTTGTATTCAGATCCGGATACCGTGGAGGAGGCTTTGGAAAGTCCAGAGGAAAGAACTAGATGGTTAATAGAACAGAGTCATCATGAATAGTGGAAGGACTGAGGATATTAGCTCGGAGAAGGCAAATGGTTTAGGGGGTGAAGGTGGTGGAAAGAGATTATCCTCAAATATTTAAAAGGTGGTTAAGAAAGAGAGTAACTAAATTTGTGTGTGCAGCGGCGACACATAGCATCAAAGGGCTCGCAGAGTTTGACTTGGTATAAAGAATAATTACATCGGTTTGAAATGAACTAGCTGGTTTGCAAGGTCCTCTTCGTTGGGGTTTGAAGTAAGACACGGGAGGGCCTTTCCTCCTTGAGAGTCTGCAGTTACCACTGCTTCCCACAAAGCAGGCTGACGGCGAGAGCGTGCATCCAGTGTGGCGGCCCCGGCGACGCCACGCACACCCCGGGCCGGATCAGGGCTCAGCGGGCGGAGGAATGAGGCGGCACGCGGGCGCTGCCCTGGCCGGAGCCCCGAGGTCCCTGCCATTCCTTTCCAAGCTGAAACCCTGCAGGCCAGCAGAGTGGAAAAGAACAGTGAAGAGGGAAACAAGGGTGGCAGCAGCTACCGCTCTTTTCAGGAGCTGAACAGTTGGTCTGCCGTGCTCTCGCAGCTTGGATCCGGGCCGGCGGGCGGGCGCCCGGGGCCTGGATACGGCGCCGCGCCCCCTGCCGGCCTGCGGTTCCGGGCGCCCAGGACAGTCCCTACACGTGGCACGGGAGAGGCAGACGGATACTCCCGTCAAGAACCCTGGTTCTTCACTAGAACTGGACTTCAGGATCATCTGTGTAATTTTTAAAACACAAATGTCAGGGACCCACTCTTCCGACATACACACGTATATTTGTGCACACTCACGCGCGCGCGCACACACACACACACACACACTCATGAGGAATAGTGATGGTGTCTTGACCCGACAGTGGGACATTGTGGCCGCCCGGTCACCTCTTGGTTTGCCTTCCCTGTTCAAGGTGTGCTTTGGAGAGTAGGATGCCTTGGGACATGTCTGTCCTTCAGGAAAGCCTTCTCCCAGGCGCTCACCATTCGTTGAGGACTAAGGAGCGGTGGTTTAGGACACAGAGCCCCAGTGTTTGCGTAGCCACAGATTATCTGGCCCAAAGCCTCCATTTATTGACAGGTTGAGGGCAAGGGCCTCAACAAAGCCATGGAAAGTGCCGGAGCTGGGCCTGGAGGCCACGCCCCCGGCTTGTGGCGAGGTCTCTTCCTGGGAACAGCTTCTTTAGGAATTCTAGGTAGAAGGAATTCTAGAATAAAGGGAAACGCTCCAGAAAGAACAGGACCCGCATCTCCGTCTGGGTCTTCCTTTGAGCATCCTGGCTCTTATGCAAAGGCGGTGCGAGCGGCTCCGTTTCTGTAGTCTGTTCGGCGGTACTGGAGAGAGGGCTGGTGACTGGGCGTGGCTGACGGTGTGAAGAGTGACCTGGAGTTTATCGCCCAGTCTTGTCACCAGGTGACCGCTCCTTCCTGGGCCCTAGCTTCCCTTGCGCAGAAAATCTCACTGCTGGGTAATATTAAAGACTAACTCCTCTGACACTCCCTGCGGTTTTCTGTGGACTGTTCCCCGGACATCGCGACCCCTTTAGCCTAGCGCTTGTTACACAGGAGGCATTTGACTCCTGTTTATTTAAATGGTTGATATTTCATTTGATCCTCCCAACAGATTAAGAGGAAGTATTCCATTTTGTCATCAGGTGAGGCATAGAGATGATAAATCTGGCATCTTGTTTAGAGTGTCTCCCCTCGAGACTCTGTGAGGTTTGCCACCCAGCAGCACTGCTCAGTGTTCCCGTCACCAGTGGCCTCAGGCCTGGGGCCCGAGTCAGAACCCGCAGGCTTAGCAAGATCCCCAAGTGGTTCTCATGCACAGGAAAGTGTAGATGCATTGGTCAAGGCTGCATTTCTAGGTGAATTAACCCTTCTCCCTTTGGGATTGATGGAAACGGTGCATCGCCTGTCCTGATTGTGCTCTCTTCCCTGGGATGGGCCGCGGGGAAGGGAGGAACCTGAAGGTAAACAAATACGTGACTTTTAAATGTTCTTGGTTCTGTCATCACTTGTGAAAATAGTTCCCAGGAGAATCTGTAGAGGTCCCGGGTCTCACTAGGCTGATTTGGTGGCCGCTCTGGCGAGTGATCCCACAGCCATCTCAGGAGGAGATGTCCTCTTGTCCAGAGGAGAGGAAGTCTGACCACTTGTGAGCCTGGAGACGGAGCTGGTTGGAGGGTGAGCGCTCCAGGGGGCAGTGTGTGACACTGACCGGTGAGCCACTGGCGGTGGCAAGGAGACTGTTGGCCCAGGGAGGAAAGACGGCCGTAGCAGGGCAGGCACACGTGGGTCTTCTCTGAATCTGATCGTGGCAAGAGGAAATGACACCCTTGAATCTTGCTGTCCAATGTGAAGCCAGCTGGGGCTTGCAGAATGTGCAAAGCTGTTGCTCCACAGGGCGTGCCGGGGCCCCCGCCGCCCTGCGGGTGTGACCCTTCCCTGACATGTTGAGTAACGTCTGAGGCGTGGGCATCACGTAATTAAGGTTTTCTCAGAACTGGAAATCCGAAGCATTCAGGTGATGCTCTGCGTCGTTTGCCGCGTGGATGGAAGGTGCAGGCGCGAGCAGATGGCTGGCTGAGGGTACAGCTGAGGTGACACTGCAGTGCTGACTTGTCGTTTTTACCTGCCTGCCCCTTCCCTCAAGGTCGGCCTCCGACAGCTGGACATGTCCTTGCTCTGCCAGCTATACAGCCTCTACGAGTCCATCCAGGAATACAAGGGAGCGTGCCAGGCTGCGTCGAGCTCAGACTGCACTTACGCGCTGGAGAACGGCTTCTTCGACGACGAGGAGGGCTATTTCCAGGAGCAGAGCCCCCTGCACGACAGGAGGGAGCAAAGCCCCCCGAGGGACCCCTCACCGCCTGTCTCCCCGCTCTGCAGCGCCGACTGGATCCTGGAGTCCATCTAAAGGACCCAGGAGGGAGGCGACTGTCAGCGTGTGCTTCTCCTCTCCTCCCCCGCTGCGGGCATCCCCAGGCCAGTGGGACCTGTGCTGCCCGTTCAGTTTGCAGGCAGGGAGATCTGCCTGGGCGCGGGGCCTCGGGCCGCTTCAGGGGCCGCTTTCTACTGAGGTGACCTGGAGGCGTTCAGCAATCTCCTCACAGCCTGGCCCTGAGGCCCTGCGGCCAAGGATTTGTACTGAGAGCATGATGAGAGGGTCCCTGGAGAAGACCTGCTCGGGTTATTTTGTGCAAGATGAGAGGACCCGTGTGTAGCTGGCGGCTTTCTCACAGGTAGGGTTTGCCTCCAGTTTACAGTGTAAGAGAGCTAACACTTCCCTGCTGCCCTTCCTCGGTGTGTTCAACAGCCCTTCTTGCTGTTTCCTGAGCTCTGAAGCCACTGGGTCGAGCTGTATTTATTTGTAAGCTGCATTACTCATGGTCCAGTGACTCAGTAAAAGCTTTTCACTGAAACAGTAAACATTTCAGGTCACACCAATCAAGAGAACTGCATTCTCTTAACCTGTCAAAAATTTTTGTATCATCGTTTGTCCCTCAGATGTGGGAGGAAGGAAGATAGTACAAAGATACTTCAAGCGGGGTTGGGGGGGGAAACTGGAGCAAGCTGTGTTTTGTGTCACCCACGGTAAGGCGGTGAACGTTTCAGGTTTTAAAGATTCTGAATGTCAGCTACTATGTGAGAAAGCAAACTCTTCCACTCAAAACGGTCGTCACCTTAAGCCTTACTATATTTATTAAAATCTTTCATGCACACTTTACGCTTTGTAGGTTACAAGTGAGGATAAAATGCTAAACTGTCTGTGGTTGTGTATCGATATTATTTTGGTCTGAATTAAGAATCATCAACTTTCATCACTTGAATGCGTTGAATCCGATCAACTGCTGAAAGAAAATTGCAGTTTGTTTTCTTGCCAGTAAGAATTTGAAAGAAGCTTTATTCCTCTCTTAGCTCGTTCCTGGAGTTGTTTTATCAGTAGACTGCGGCTGACAGTTACGTCTCAGGGCTGTTCAGTCACTGAATACTCTGGGCCCCTTGCTTCTCTTCTCTTCTCTCCTTTGGAGCAGTAGTTGCTTATTAGCACCTCTTTGGGGTCAGAGAGAGGACGTAAAACTCACCATCGTGAAGCAGCATGTTGACAGCCTGTCAGGTACACAACCCCATTTCAGGGATAGGGGTGATATGCAGAGAAGGAAAAGCCTTCCCGCTCATTTGCTGTGTTGAAAGTCACCATTAAAATGAGGGGTGGCAGGAAACTGCCTTCAGCAAGTGGCGGGACTGTTCGGTGGGGAAAATTCATTTTATTTATTTATTTTTGGCTGTGTTGGGTCTTTGTTGCTGCGTGCGGGCTTTCTCTAGTTGCGGAGGGCGGGGGCTACTCTTCCTTGCGGTGTGCGGGCTTCTCATTGCGGTGGCTTCTCCTGTTGGGGACTCTAGGCGCGCGGACTTCAATAGTTGCGGCATGTGGGCTCAGTAGCTGTGGCTCACGCACTCAGTAGCTGTGGCTTGTGGGCTCTAGAGTGCAGGCTCAGTAGTTGTGGTGCCCGGGCTTCGTTGCTCCCCGGCATGTGGGATCTTCCCGCACCAGAGCAGGCGTGTCCCCCGCATTGGCAGGCGGATTCTTAACCACTGCGCCACCAGGGAAGTCCTCGGTGGGGAAAATTGAAAGTGGCAAAACCAGGTGAAGTCTGGTTGTCTACTGGAACCTCTTCCTTCGAGGCTGGGCCCCTGCTTAACAATGAGGTGAACCTGAGCTCAGTTGTTCTGAACCTTGACCACATGAGAATCACTTGGGGGAGCTTTCAGAACAGTATCGAGCCAGGATCAAGACTTCCCCTTGTGCCCCCCTCGCGCCCACCCCACTCCCCGCTCCGGCCCCTAGCATCATTCAGATTTAATTAGTAAGGAGTGAGGCCTGGGTGCCTGTACGGTTCTAAAAGTCTCCCCTGCCCCCCCGTGAGTCTAATGTGGATCTAGTTGAGATCTAGAATTCAAGATGTAGTCCGTGGAGCAGGCGTCACCGGAAACGTGGTGCAGAATCTCACCCACCCAGCCTTCTGCCCCCGGCCCTGCGCCTTGACACGAGTCCTCCGACCATCATTCTGCACAGAGTTCCAGAAGTGCTGCTTTAAGTCAGCCCAGCACCAACACTGCCGCTCTCGGAGGGCTGTCCCTGCAGCACTGAAGAATTGCCTGGCCTGCCCCAGGCGAAGCTTGCGGGGCTGGCTCTGTCTGGGGGAGCGCTCTGATTCAGAATGCTTGCGTTCCCTGGGTCTGCGGGGACCCGCAGTGACTCCTAGGGCCTGTGAGTCTCTGGGCCTTTGTCTCATCACTGTGGGATAGCCTGTCAGAGTTAGAAGTGGAATGAATCAAGGCGAGCAAGGGGCCCTTCCCTGCCGGCTGGGCTGACACATTCCTGGCTCCTGCAGTGAAGTGGCATATACACATAAACCACTGTGGGTGGTCAGCGCTCCATCTGAAATATATATAACTCACCCCAAACCTTCTCTTACTCTAAGTGTAGTACACTTTAAATACTGTAAATACAGCTTGGCAAGGAATATTAAAGTTTCCCAAATCATAAAGTGTTTTCGAATATACCCTTCTACAAAGGTGCCACAGGTGACTAGAAAATAAATTCAGCTGGTTTCGTTTTTTGCTACCTGGCGTAAGTCATTACTTGTAAGTTCAGAGTGGGTCTGTCTTGCTACTCGGTGACCAGCAGAGAAACGTAGACGATAAGGCAGTCCAGCATTACCGGACGAAAGCTGCAGAAATTGTGAACTACTGTGTAAGGCGACATCCATAGTTGTTAAGAAAACACCTCTAGCTTCCTAGGCATATGTGCAGTGAACTCAGAATTGTTGCTAATTTAAGCCTTGCAATTCACAAACGATACTGTTCCCCTTATGTCCCCAGTGGAATTCATAGTCGGTTAGCCAACCTGACTCCTTGCTTTCATGCCTCTGTAACCTAGGGTGATGTTACTCCTTCAGCTAGCATTATTATTTAGCATTTATCGGGATCACGTTGATCCAGGCGCCCAGAACAGATGAACACCGTGAAGAGCCTCTGGCCAGTTCTCCACTTCCACAAATAGCTTAGCACGGGATGTTAAGTACTGTGATGGGGGAAGTACCATGGGCCACTGAGTGCCAGAAGGAGACTCCACAGCTACTTGGGGATATTGGTGGAGCCCTCTGAGCTGGCTTTGGAGGTTGAATAAGTCCCTCAAGAGGCCAAGAGTGAGAAGGCAGATGTAATGGCTTAAACGAAGTCTCCGAAAACTTTTACGTGCAGTGCCGTGTGCTTTCATAAAACACTTTCCTTTCTATAATTTAAATGGGTTAAGCGATTTGCCAAGGACCGTGGCTAAATAACAGCGGAGCTGGAGTTCTCAGACGCACTTTGTGCTTTACGTTTAAGGCGCAAGCAGGTGCTGGAATAATGTGAAATCTAAGGAGACTGCCTGGTACAGCCCGTTCGCCTTCATCACAGTGCCGTATTATTTAATGATTTGTTGTGCAGTGCTTTCTGCTGGATCTTGGTCTGACGTCTACATGCACAGGCCTGATTTCTTTCAGAGCCTGTGATAACAAACATACGCCAAGTGTATGTGTGACCCAAAGACCCCACAGCAACCAACATCACTTCACTGGAGGCGAGTTGTCAGTGGAGTCTCATCTCTCTGCCCAAGGAAAACTTAGCGATTGTCAAAAGCCCAAGCATGTCCAGTCCTCTTGTCTTCATGGATTGTACTTTCAGTTCAGAGAGATGTATCTGAGCCCATGCTGTACGGAGGTGGTAGAACTTCGGTTGGAAGGTAACATCTGGAGGTTACACCTGAAGAACGGCTGACACCTGCTGGGTCAGTGTCATGGGTGAAAAGGCTATGGGAGCGCGCGTGGGCCTCCAGACCACCTAGTGTGGGCTTTGGAGAGGGTGTCAACAGCCTGCCTGATGCCTTTGTTCTAATCAACTATGATAAGGATGTGTGATTTTCCACCTCACTCCTCTGGCCACCAGTTAACTGAGGACAGGTCCCTAGAGACCCAGCTTCCAACCTGGTTCTCCTGACTTTCTGAAGAACTCTCACAAGGAAGCTTAGCATCTACACAATGTTGAGCACAACCCTTGTTAAATACACGAACAAAGCAAGATTAGCAGAATAAAAACATGACGTGATTAGTAGTTTAGGAAGAGTTATAGCCCCAGAGAGGCAGGTCCCTGTGAGAGGGGAGGACAAGAGGATGAGAGAATTATGCACTGTCAACCTCAGGCAGAAGCTCAAAGACCCCCTCTCTCTGCTCTCCATCCCGTCTCCAAGACAGAAGCACTAATGAAAGTCAGTGACCAGTGGGGCCCCAGGAACACAGAAACCATCGTTACTCGGAAGGCCGATTTTGGTGGGAGGAGTACTTGCCTTAGAAATAGACGTGGTTAAAGCCACAGTCACCATACGACCTGGGAGCGTTTCCCAAGTCTCTCACAAGGGCACGGGGTATCGGAGAAGAGAAGTTAGGACTTTGTTCTGGGACTTAGGGAAGAGAGCAGCTTACCTTTCGTTCTCTCTCTGCTGCCCTCAGGGTGATGAGATGCCAGGGTGGGCTCAGGGAGAAAGGGTGAGAGAGGAAACCACCTAAGATGACCTCTAGGACATCATTTGTGTTAGAGGCAAGAAAGCTCTGAAATTCCTAAGTCCAGCACAATGATAGGGAAGCCATGGGGACTTGAGGTTGAAGGGCAGGCTGGTAATAGCGCCTGTTCATCTGGTGTGGCCCTGTGCATGGACGCCTCAGGAATCTAGATGGAGGTGAGTTTGGAGAACGAGGAGGGTGCTTGCTAACCAGACTCCACCTGCAGTTACTGTGTGTCCCCGGCCGGGCCATCGCCAGGAGTACTCCCCACTGGGCGCTGGTCCTCTCTGGCCGATGCCCATCTGCCTTCCTGGCAGAAATACTAGGGACCATAAGCTCAACTCATTTCCCCTGGGGTCATACACCATGTGACTTTTCTCAACAAGCTATCAAGACACACCCTAAATGGCCATTGATCAGTAATTTACACCAGCTCAAGCACCTTGCCCGAAGCACTTCCAGTGTGCTTGGACCTCGAATTGGAAGGAGCCCAGTATAAGACGTGGAGGTTGAGCTTCTGTCCCCCAGCTGTGGAAGGAAGAGTAGAAACACGCCCCTTAGGGCAGAAGACACAGTCTTGTACAGACAGATGCCTGGTCACACATTTATGTATTTTAAATGGACTGGTACGATTTATATACCACCTGTGTTTAAAAAAACTGTTTAAGGCTGCTTTATAAAAATTCATACAACACAGTAAAATGCAGTTTTTTAAAAAGTGGGTTTAAAAATCAGCAAAGGGAATACGAAGGCAGGAAAGGTAAGATGCAGCCAGGTGTAAAGTCAGCACAGGAAGCACCTGCTGTGAGAAAGACAAGTGGTTCTATTTGCCTGCAGAACATAAATGAAGGAGTTTCTGACCTTGAATTGAAATGAAGGCCATAGATGGATGGAGAAGGCTCAGCTCTAGAGCAGGTGTTCGCCTGGGTGTTTCCCTGCCAAATGAGTCCAAGCAAGGTGATTTCTGGGAAATACGGGAAGGAGCTAGAATGGCATTCTTTCCGTGTTGTGAGGGAATCGTCATAGCTGCACGGAGTCCACTCCCGGCCAGTGTGGGGAGCCCCTCGCAGTGCGCTGAAATCTGTGTCCCTGGGACTCTGATGAAGCCACAGATAGAAGGTTAAGTTTCACAGGCGAGTCCCGCTCAAATTTGGGAGGTTGTGTGTGTGTGTGCTGGGTGTGGAGCTGCTATTCGCCAGATGATTTTGTGATAGGCTGAAAAATGGCCCCCCAGAGATATCTGGGCCAAAGATACAGTCTCTGGAACTTGTAAATGTTACCTTATTTGGAGAAAAATGCCTTTGTGGATGTAGTTCAGGATCTTGAGATGACCAGATCATCCTGAATTACCCGGGTGGGTCTTAAATGCTATCACAAATGTCCTTGTAAGAGGGAGGCAGAGGGAGGTTTGACTCACGGAAGAGGAGGTGATATGAAGATGGAGGGGAGATTGACGTGCCCAGGAGCCAGGAACTGGCATCAGCCACCAAAACCCGCAAGAGGGAGGGAATGGATTCTCCCTTAGAGCCTCTGGGGAGAGTAGTCCCGTCCACACCTCGGCTTTGGCCCAGTGAAACTGACTCTGGACTTCCTTCCTCCAGAATTGCGAGAGAATACATTTGTTGTCTTAAGCCGCAAGCTTGTGGTAATGGGTACAGCAGCCACAGGAAACTGGCACAGATTTCTGGGCACCCTTGTGTTCCTCCCGCTTAGCTGTTTATCTCTGTTGCGACAGGGCAGCATCATTTAATCTGCCAGCCCCCCCCCACTGTGCCCCCCCTTTCAGAATACCCAGCATGCATTTCCCAGTGGGCTCTTAGAGGCAACTTCTAGGGTTATCATGAGGGTGAAGTGAGTTAACGATTATAAAGCCCCTAAAACAGTGCCTGGCGCAAAGTCAATAGTATATATAAACTCTTCTTAAATAGGAATGAATAACTATAATCCTATTTGGGTACTGAGGTTCTTGCTTTTGCAGCGTATTTCCTCTACTGGCTTAGCCAGAGAACCCTATAATTCAGTCTTGGGTCACTAACTCTCCCTGCAGAATGAGTCGCCAGCTTTGCAAATAAGGTTATATCGGAAAGGTACAACACATCTCTTAAGGATCGCAGCAATGCTGAGGAAAGAATACAATACAGCGCTCATTGTCTTCTGCAGCTTCTTCCTTGGAGGCAGAGGACTAATATTAATCTGGTTCTAGTCATTTGAGTTCCCTATTTATTTAAAACTCTGTTGTTCTCTATCCCTAACTGTATTTGAAGACCATTATCCTTTTTCTTAACAAGGGAAGAAGGACTGCAGTACCCCCCATTAGACTAGGGGTGGAGACTAATATAGATCCAGGGATCCACCCTTAGGCTAGGTAGTAGTGACCAAGATAGCCCCAGGGATCTCCCATTAGACTACGTAGTGGAGACCAAGACAGACCCGGGGATCCGCCATTCAACTAGGTAGTGGAGACTGATATAGACCCAGGGATCCCCTGTTAGACTAGGAGTGGAGACCAGGTTTTAGTCCCAGTTCTGTCACTCTGTGCTTCTGTGACCATGAGCGCATCCCTGAGCCATTCCGAGCTTCAGTTTCTTCATATAAGACTGATTTTAAAAATATCTTCAGCTTTTCTGACTGATGTTTGCCTTGTTTTGTTGTAAATACCTAAAAATACGCTTTCTTTGGCTCTCATGTACACCGTGATGTTTTCTTCCCGATTTAGTTCAAAGGCTTCAAACACTGTGACGGAGAATCTTCCAACAGAAGACCACTTGTCCGTTTTCTCTGTGCCTTATTCATCTATATTGTGCTCTCATAAACTGAGTATTTTTTCTCCTGGCTCTTGGCTGTGTTGAAAACTCAAGAGTCAGCAGTGGGCTGTCTGTGTAGCCACTGTGACGGTAACTGATCCGCGATTTTAAGGTAGCTTTTCTAGGATGGCTTGGGTGCATATGCTTTTTCAATAAAAGTGTGGATAAAAGTAATTTTTATACCTTCAAGAGAATTTTCATATAAATGCCTTCTTTGTTGTTGTCAGACCATGTTTCAGTGACTGGGGGAGAGAGAGGGATGGCTTGGAAAACATAGACACCATTCTAAGGCACCAAGCACCACCACTACCTCATCTTCCCAGCACAATTGAAAATTCTGCCATCTCAGGAATCACGGGGTAAAATTTAACACCTGTAAAACCTAGGTGGCGGATAGGTGTGTTTTCACTGTACAGTTCTTTCACCGTTTTTGTATCTTTGAAACTTTTCATAAAACATGTTGAAAAAGTAGGGCCACTGATAGCACAGAGATAGGACGAACTCCTGTGCTGGGCACTGGGGCACGGCCTGGGTGGCGGGAGAACTGGCCACCTCGCAGTGACCTGGAAGGCAGTCTCTCTCCCTTGTTCCTGGAGTCTTGCCCTTTCTTTTCTCACTCCAGTGAGTGATGTGATAAATAGGCTGAGTGGAGTCCAAGGTCAGAGCTGATCAGATGGGTTTCCCTTGCAGTCCTTACCACACATTCTGCAGCGCTTAGCTACCTACCGCTCACGGATACCTCACTGACACCCTGGAAAGGGATTTCTAACACTTCCTTCATTTTGAAAGATTAACAAGTACCTTTATGGTGATCAAGACAGCCTGGGAATGTATTGAGTACGAATTTATAAATGGGTGATGTGTGTCTCTTCATCTGAGTCAAAGATTTGAAAAGGTATGATCAGTGTAGGGTTTTTTTTGGTCATTTTTTCCCCCTATTATTTGTTTTCGAATTGCTTTTTTCTTTTGGTTGTATGCCTTTGAACCATGTTTTCTACCCCCTCCTTAACATTTACAGGCTCCATCTGGTGGCCAACGGTCCTCTCCAGCCTACGGCTATTCTGTGATGTTATCCCAGTTGGTTTTGTCCTGCTTCTTTTTTACTTTGGAGTCTTCTTTTTAACTATCTGTGTTGGTTTCATCATCCTTGGGATAAATTACAACCCACGAGGCCCTTCATAATCCGACCTTTACGTGTCTTCCTAGTGTCCTTTGTAAAACTCCCACTGCCCACGTTCCACCCAGTTGGACTATTCGCTTTCAGCCCCTGCCTGTGCACATTAGCGCTCTGCTCTCTAGGAACGTACGTGCACTGGCATCCTCTCTACCAGGGGTAATGGAAAGTTCGTGTCCTTTCCCCTCCCCTTGGAAGACCTTCTCGACTTCTGAGATGGAACAGGTGTTCCCACTCTGCCTTTCCCGAGTGCCCTATACTCACCCCTTTATAACACTTAGGACGCTGCACTGCAGTTACCTACTCCTGCTTCTAAATCCATCACTACTTGGTAAATGTCGAGAGGGCCTTGTCTTTTTTCCCACTGTATCCGTAGTGTCTGACCCAAACAGAGTAGGTGCTCAGTAAACATCTGGTGAGTGAATAAGTAAATAATGAATGAAAGAACAAATGAATGAAGCAGGGAGAGAGAAAAGGAGAGAGGTGATATTTATTTAATAACAGCTCTATTGAGATATAATTCACTCCTGTTAAGTGGACAAATTCAGTTTTTAGTTATTTTTGGATCAGCTGATTTTAAAGAGGAACTTAGTTACAGGGGAAGATACTGAATTAAATAGTCACAAAAGCTCAGTTTATTGTGACTGCATTGGAGAAAAGCCTTTCTCTTGTTTAAGAACACAAAATATTATTTTAACCATTAACATTTAAATGTCAAAGGAACGAACAAAGATCTTTTCTTCTGTGTGACGCATGAATTCACGTTCCTTCAATTCAGATGCTTACCTGAACCATCTATAATGTAGATGGTTCCTTGTGTTTGTGTGAGTGTCTCTGTGTGTGTCCCTGTGTGGTTTAGTTGTTTCCTGCATGTAGGGGTGGGGTGGTAGGGTTAGGAGTCCTCAACGCCATAACCGTTGCTTTCTTTTTCAGGAAGTGTATCCAAATCTTTGCTTCATTGTACACAACAATAACGAGAAGCTTGGTTTGTATTTTACGCCTTCTATTTTACGGATGCAGCTGGTTATGCCCCAGAGAGTAAAAAAAAAAGGACACTGTGGATGATAAATGAAGTATTCAGAATGGCACATTCTGCAGAAGATCAAATCAGTAGATACTTATTAGGGCAGGCCGTGTACTATGGGAGACACAGTTAACACAGGCATGGCCTCTCCCGGCACCCAACTGGACTAGGGGAGACGAGCATAAAACATGAAACAACGTAAGGGACGTTAAAGACAGGTGATCTTCTCCTAACCAGAAGCTGTCATGGGTAGCCTGACAAGTGAAGCGCTAACAGAAGGAGGGGACAGGCGTTCAGCACCGGAAGGGTCTCAGGAGCGCCGGCAGTGTGACTGTGCTGAGCTGGGCACCGGGAGGTCTACGGAGGGAGTGAGCACGGCAGACTGGAGTGTGGGGAAGGGCTTCGTTCCACGGAGAAGCAGAGGTGACTGGACCTGGTTAGGCGGAGAAGAGGCCCCTCCAGGTCCTGGAGAGGGTGTGACATCTCTGGGGAGGGGGAGAGTGCAGTAGAGAACGTGGGCAGGAGCATGTCTGCAGAGGAGAAGTTAGCACTAGAGCTCAGAGAACACTAAAAGGTGTTCCTCAGGAAGAGGAAGTTCCTGTCCACAGTAGGAAAGGATGAAAAATTCAGAGACACCAGGAGCGGTGCTCTGTGAAGAGAGGCTGAAGGTGGGTGAGGCTGTTGTAAACTGTGAAGCAGGAGACCAGGAGGCTTGGGCTGGGGTCGGAGTGACAAGATGAGAAGCCATCAGGAAGGTTGTTTCCGTGGGGACGGGCGGGTGGGGTACTGAGTTCGATTTTAGAGGTAATGGCCACACCGTCCTGGCAGTACCTCGGAGGCAGTGGAAGGGCATGAGTGACCTGGCAGAGGCGGAGGGCTAGAGGTGTCAGATCTGGAAAGATCTGGAAGCAACATGCACTGAGAGATGGGCCAAGGCGTGCGGAAGCCGGGCGTCTGCACGGCAGGAGGGAGAAGCGGAGGGCCGAGGACGGAAGCCGGGCACAGACAGGGAAGTCGGTGACAGACGGGGCCCGGGCGGCCTGTTTCAGAAGCCAGCCGCTTCCAGCGCAGGGCGGCGACGGGGAGGAGTCTGACAGCCGGCGGCGGCTGCCTTTGATCGCAGGAGCAGCGGCTCGGGAGACTAGGGAGGAAGGACGTGTCACCAAGAGGGAAGGCAGTGGAGAAAGAGGCTCAGGGCAGCTGCTCGCAAGTCGAGAGCTGCACGTGTCTGCTGGCAGAGGGGAGGAGCCGGCACAGACGAGAGAGGATGGAGGGAGCGATGCCTGGGGGGCGGAGAGGACGAGGCTGAGCTGAGCGGGGCGGGGTGGGGGGGAGGCCGAGGTACCGGGAGAGGCGGAGAAGGTCTTCGGGACGGGACGGACGCAGCTGCTCGCTCCTGCCCCACGCTTCCCTCACCAGCTGCCCCGCCTTCAAGTCGCCCGTCCTGCCTCAAGGCGGACTGCAGCTGTGGTCCAGACCCCTGAGGGTGAGCAGAGGCGGGAGGAGAGCTGCAGGGTGGAATCCGCCCGGGGTGCGGGGCGTGGAACGCTGAGCAGGGCTCCGAGGCGGGATGGAGGGAGGAGGAAAGAAGGCAGACGCCAAACAAGTTCCGGAACGGAGGGGGGACACCCAAGGAGTTGGTAAGTCTCAATTCTCAGCAAAGTGACAGGAGACGCGGAAGGAAGGAGCGCGGGAAGACTTCAGAACAACTGCTCTAAGGCCGCTGTGTGTGTGTGTGTGTGTTGGGTCCCTAGAGGTGCCCTCGAGACAGGAGCAGCCACCCGGCCGTGCTCTGTGCAGACACAGGGACCGCCTGCCAGGCTTCACAGAGGAAACAGCTGGTGGACTCACCCCAAGAGCTCTAACGGGGGCGCTGGCAGAAGGGTAGGAAGCTGACTCGTTTCCAGGGACTAACAGAGGATGAGGCAACAGCTGCCTCTAGGCTCCAGGCACAGTCAAGAGAGAGGCAAGGGAGGTGAGAAGTAGAGGAAAGTGAGAGGTTTAGGGAAGAGAGGTACAAAAGGCAGCAAAGGCAGGGTTCATGGGAGGGAGGGAGTGGAATGGTTGGAAAGGGCGGGAGACGGCTGTCGTTCAGAGTCCGAGGTCTTAGGAGGAGTGCGTTGGAGGGAAGGTGTTACAGAACTGTGAGAACAGGGCCCCAGAAGCAACAAAAACATAGCTATTGATGTCACTGTGGATGACAAAAGACCCCGAGGGAGGTGGAGGTGACCTCGAGGCACCCGGGTGCCGGGGGGTGGGTGATGTATTCTGCGACATCTGTCTAATTTGAGGAGGACACGTGTCTGCGTGCATGAACACTGAGAGATGCTCTCTGTACCTCTTCAAAAGTCTTGAGATTTATGGATGGCAGTCACTTCCAACAGCCCATGCCATCCTCTGGAAGAAGTAGACCATGGCGCTCTCCACCAGTAAGCCACTCAAGATGGCCAAAAAGGAGAGCTTGCGGTTGACGTTTAGGGTCACTGAAAAAGAGAAGGCAACTGGTAAGTTCTTAAGAGTTTAATTAAATGATACTGGCATGTAAATTATGTGGTAGTGTGAATGGAGTTGTTTTGTAAAGCTGTTTTTAGAAAATCTGTTTGTCCTTATTAATCTATGCTGTTACTTTTCCATCTGCAAACCTTCTGAGAGAAGCAAAGCATCTGCTTATAACAAAAGCACTGGGCCTCTCCTGCTTGCATCAAGACACGGATTCCCATGAATAGTACACAGGAAAATGAAAGATTCTAAGGTTATAAAGAGAGTAACAGAAAAAATTTGCTACTCTTGGTTTTATAGTTTACAAGATGATAAACATTATACAAAGTATCAGATAATAGGTCCATTTAAGATAGCACTTCTCACAGTGTGTGGGAAAGAGGAAGACACACAGGGCTGCTTACCCCTTCCTTGAACTGTCCTGAGCTGGGAGGCAGGCTGGCACCCTACCCTGGCTTGATAACTGCCGGCCATGTAACCTTGGTCAAGTCCCCACGAGTCATAAAGTGGAGATAATAATGGCTGCCCTACAGACCCCAGGGGATAGATATAATGCATAAAGAAGGCATTTTGAAAACTAAAGAGTACCATGTGGTTAAACTGAACAAATACCGAATGTGTGCTATATGTAAGGCACTATAGAAATGTTAGGCATCGTGATTACTCTACGAAGAATTCCAGCGTTTAACAGGTTATATAAAAACTACTCTATAGGGCTTCCCTGGTGGCGCAGTGGTTGAGAGTGCGCCTGCCGATGCAGGGGACACGGGTTCGTGCCCCGGTCCGGGAAGATCCCACATGCCGCGGAGCGGCTGGGCCTGTGAGCCATGGCCGCTGAGCCTGCGCGTCCGGAGCCTGTGCTCCACAGCGGGAGAGGCCACAACAGTGAGAGGCCCGTGTACCGCAAAAAAAAACCCAAAAAAACCCCAAAACTACTCTATAGAAACAAGACTTCAAGCTTTCAGATGGGTTGAAAGCTGAGAAAACAATAAGACACAAACATACCTCTAACTGCCTGAAAATTTGACGTAAGGACAAATACTTTAATGAGTCTGAGGCACAGGGGTGTGTAGTCATGTTCCCAGATGACAGCTGGGATGAGCAGGAGTTTTCCGTAGCTGGATAATAACAACGCTTTCAGCAGCAAAGCGAAGTTGAGGGTTTTTTTCGCTGTTATGGGTCGTTCTACCCACAGGAAAGTAAAGATGCCTGTAAAATAGGCAGTTTGTTCTAAGGAGGAAATGAAAAATAAAGATATGAATGTCCAATCCAAAGCAGAGCCCCCTAGAAGCAAACAACCCACAATTCCAAAATGCAGCCTATCAGCTGACCACAAAAGAAATGCTTTACCAAGACCAAAGTTTCTTTTTTGTTCCCTTTTCTTCTTCTTCTTCCTTTTCTTTTTTTTTTTAAATAAACCCCTGTCTCTTGTGTCAAATCCTGTATGATTTCAGAAACGTATTTCAATAATTCTTTCATGAAATACTTCATCATCCTCTGGAGAAAAAGTAACTCCATAAGAGCTGTAATAATCGACGTTCTAAAGTTCCTTTAGGAAGTAAGGCTCTGTGTAAACAGCTTTAGTCCTGGCGATCTCCACAGAAAGAACAGACAGGAGAACGGACGCTTTTAAATCTGAAAGGTGGGACCCAGCCTAGGAAGTACACATGAGGAGGTTCTTCGTGGTTCATTCTTCTACTCTTTATTGAGTGCCTATTAGCCATAAGATTCTGAATACTCTGTTAGCTAAATTTAAAACTTCCCTTATTCATTTTAACAAAAACTTTTTGAGTGTAATTCCATATCCTTCCAGAAAGCATTCAGAGACAGAGTCCAGACTAGAAGAAGCAATAGTTCCCCTGGTGTCCCACAGTCAGAATAGGGCACAATCTGTTCTGTCCCCATCAACTAGGAGTTTAACGTTGCTTTTAACTGCATTATTCTTTTTATTAAGATGGTTAGTGCTGATTACCCGGCTGCATACATTCTGAATGGTCTGTCCCTAATTCTACCTTAAGGTTTCTGCAGGATCAGGTTTTTCTGGAACACATGGATCATATTCCAGGAGAAACAACTGTATTCTTTCTAAGATGTTTTATAACTGAATCCAGCCAAAATAAAGAGGTTCCAAATAGAGGTGATTGGGCTCGATCAACATAATTTAGGATGGTTAGCCTACATGAAATTTGATATATTCTTCAGGAGAGACACACTACCTCAGAAGGACCGAAGGGCTTGTCAACGGCAAGGATCTGTTCAAACAGGCAGATCATACAGCCTGGGTTTTGGACCAATAATAATAATAATAATAATAAAGAACTCCCTAACAACAAGAACCATCTAACGATGGTGGGTTGTCTCCTGTCACTGGGGATACTCAAACCCTCTTGCAGGAATCTAGAGAGAAGGGTTTCTTGCACTGGACAGGAGGGCTGACTAGGTCACCCTCCATAGCTTTCTAGCTTAGAACTTGGGAGACTCAGGGAACTGCAGCTGCCCTTGGGCTCTGCACAGTCCTTCACAAGGCAGATGTTGGAGAGCCCCTAGTACTTAAGGCGTTCGTGATCAGGTGGCTTCAGTAGGAGCGGCGGTGGAGGAAATGGAAGACAGGGCGCCAGGAGACCTTCCCCTGGCTCTGCGCTGACGGTAACCTGCGGGGGGACTTAGGGTAAACCATTTGCCCTTCCTGTTCCTGTGCTTCCACAGCTGCGGATAGGGAAGGAGCCCCCATCTACCCACCGAAGAGGATGGCTGTGAAAACTGAGTTGATAATACCGTAAAAACCGTGTTTAAGTTGTAAGATACTGTATTTGTGTAAAATATTCTTTATGAGTTGTTTTAGGGATTTGAAACCTAACTAGGGATTAGATTAAGACACATAAAAAAGTTAAGTAACAGTAGAAAAAAATTTCTGATCAAGTGTCAAAATGGCCACTGTAGAGTCGGTGCCACAGAAATTCCAAACTATTTGAAAACAAGCCTGGTTTGCTTTTTAGAAATTATGGACATAGAGCAGTTTATCTAGAGCAATTCTAAGAGGCTTTGCTTTAAAGCTTTATATTAGGTTCTGGTTCTTGGTTTAGGTGATGTGTTCAAGGATGTTTTTAATATTATTACGTACATTTGGGAATTCTCGGCATATAGATGAATTTTAAAACCTCTGGGACTGGATGAATTTTAAAACCACTGGGCCGAGGGAGTAAGGGCAGATTGAGAATAAAAAGGGACAAAAGAGGGCACACAGTCCATAAACGTGACATTGGAGTGGGCTGGAGACAATATTACTAAAATAATATTTCAGTATAATGAGAAGATTGTAGAAGCAGAAAAGCATGGAAACCAGTAAGTAATAAAATAGTCACAGAAATTAATTCAACCCCATTCTGACCTAAGTCACAAATGCAAATTCTGAAGAAAAGCCATTTCAGAACTTAAAGAATTTGGGGGAGTAGCCCCTTCCCTGCATGCAGCCAGATATATAACAAGTTTCCCCTATTAAATACATTGCATTAGTACAATGCAGTCAGTATAATACATTGAATAATGCCTGGCAATTATCAATCTGTTTTAATAAAGATGAGATTCAGGCAATCTTCAGATTGGATAATCAGAACTTAAACTGAAGAATTTTACTAAAAATACTGTGTCTCAAAATACTTTATGAAACACTCTGATCTGATAAGCATAATTATTTCCATGCCATATGTGTGGTAACAAAAAGAAAGCAGGTGATTTATACACACTCACCTAGCAGATTAGTGGTACAGCTGAAAATTTAGTCTCAAGTCTTCTGACTAGCTCCTCTTTACCAGTGATTAAGACCACACACCTTAATTTTAAAATCAAAATGTTAGGTCAACTAAGAATAGAAAGCATGGCTTCTTCCTACCTAGAGAAGCAATTGCAAACATTCTATAGAAATCCCACTCTTTAGCATATCTGATAAAGTCGTCAGGATCAATGCTCCGGCTCGAATCTTGAAGCTGCCACCATCTCAGGTACGCTTCACAAAGCAAACAAAACACGCAGAGTTTTCCGTGCATCTGGTAGTCAAAAAGACATTGCCATGCAATCAGGTAAAGAAACAACTGTACTTAACACCAATAGGCACAGACAGAGCTAACTTCTGTGGTTTTTGAAGGATGTCCCACCTAGTAGCTTGTCAAACTCTGAACTGCCCAATTAAATGCCAACTGTATTCAGCCTGTAACCAGTAGTTCTTAATCAGCAATGTTCAGCAGAAGCATCACATGGGGAGAGTTTTCGAAACACCCCAGTCCTGATTCAGAATCTGTGGAAGTAAGTCCTAGGCACGCATACTTTGAAACAGTTCCAGGCAGAGGGTGAATTTTTTTTTTAACATCTTTATTGGAGTATAATTGCTTTACAATGGTGTGTTAGTTTCTGCTTTATAACAAAGTGAATCAGCTATACATGTACATATGTCCCCATATCCCCTCCCTCTTGCGTCTCCCTCCCTCCCACCCTCCCTATCGCACCCCTCTAGGTGGTCACAAAGCACCGAGCTGATCTCCCTGTGCTATGCAGCTGCTTCCCACTAGCTATCTATTTTACATTTGGTACTGTATATATAAGTCCATGCCACTCTCTCAGTTCGTCCCAGCTTACCCTCCCCCCTCCCCGTGTCCTCAAGTCCATTCTCTACATCTGCGTCTTTATTCCTGTCCTGCCCCGAGGTTCTTCATAACCTTTTTTTTTTTTTTTAGATTCCATATATGTGTTGGCATACGGTATTTGTTTTTCTCCTTCTGACTTACTTCACTCTGTATGACAGACTCTAGGTCCATCCACCTCACTACAAATAACTCAATTTCGTTTATTTTTATGGCTGAGTAATATTCCATTGTATATATGTGCCACATCTTCTTTATCCATTCATCTGTCGATGGGCATTTAGGTTGCTTCCATGACCTGGCTATTGTAAATAGTGCTGCAATTAACATTGGGGTGCCTGTGTCTTTTTGAATTATGGTTTTCTCTGGGTATATGCCCAGTAGTGGGATTGCTGGGTCATATGGTAACTCTATTTTCAGTTTTTTAAGGAACCTCCATACTGTTCTCCATAGTGGCTGTATCAATTTACATTCCCACCAACAGTGCAAGAGGGTTCCCTTTTCTCCACACCCAGAGGGTGAATTCTAATGTGCACCCCTGGTTAAGAATCACTGCTTTAAATAGGAGTTCACCCTCCATTATATTTTCAACATTCGTCTGATACACGGAATCCAGCAAGAATTTGTGTGACTCAGGAGAGATGGAAGCAGCAGTAAGAGAATAGATTGAACCTGAAGATTTCATGATTCCTCCGAAGAAACGATTAGTCTGAACATGAATTTCTTAAAAAGTGCCCCTAGGTTGGATGAGTATAAATGAAAATAGTGAAAGCAATTAAAAGCTGGAAGTTTTTAAGAGGCTGAAATTTTGGTAAAAAACAGAAAATGCTAGGCAACAAAAAGTGGCTTTGTTCCATATATTTCTCCCATGGGTTGCCATTTATCAATATAGAGTGGGGAAGAGAAAGTGTGTGTGCAAACTCAGTGTGGTCCAGGGACGAGCGCGGGGTGAGCTCCTCAGGCTCCTCCAGCTGGCGCACTGGCGCTCCTGGCTGCACTCTGGAATTGCCCAGGGAGTTGTAGAAATACTCCTTCCTGGATCCCATCCCCCAAGATTCGCATATAACTGGTTCTGGGTGAGGCCTCGGCTTGGAAGAATTAACTGCTGTCCCCTCCGTCTCCCGCAGGTGGTTCTAATGTGTAGCAAGGTTTGAGACTCAAATTATATTACTAATATAAACACTGCCTGCGTTGTTTAACTTGGGGGAGGAGGCACAGGGAAAATAAATTGCACTGTTACTGTCCCCGTTAGCCCAAAATTAGGGGTGCCAGATTTGGCAAAGAAAAATACAGGACACCCAGTTAAATACGCATTTTAGATAAACAGCAAATACTTTTTTTGTGTATGTATGTTCCGTGCAATACTTAGGACATATGCTAAAAAATTATTTATTGTTTATCTGACTTCCAAGTTTAATTGGGTGTCCTGTATTTTATTTGTCAACCCTAGCCAAACTATTAAAAGAGTTCACAAGTCAGTACATTAAACGTATATTTAAAAAAAAAAAAAAATCCAACTTCATATATTAGGACTTTTCTGATTTTTCACCTCATGTGTTCCCTGAACAGCAGAGTATAACATGCAATAAGTTATGTTTTTAAATCTTTTTCTTTCAATGTTTGCTTATTTCTTTTAGGTATAATTCTCTCCCTACCAGATTATATTTAATTTTATTCTGTTCAAAATTATTGATGTCTGTTTCAAAAGGTAACCTACTAAAAGGCAATCCAGATTATCGTTTGTCAACTTCCTGCTAGTGACCATATTCTTTTTTTTTTTCATATTCTTAAACATACACTAAACACTGTACACTTTTTTAAAAAGCAGTGCCTGCTATTTCTAGAAATTTCCAGACATTGTTGAGATAGAAGACCCACTCTTGTTAGAATTTCTTTGTTTAAATAATATTCTTTAATTCTGTTCAAAATTGTTGATATTATTATTTAAAAATGCAAAATCATCCAGTAAAATTAGAAAAGAAAAAAATTATAACAACTTACATTTATTTTGGTATTGAAAAGAATATGCCTGTAGGCCTGGGCTCTGCATAAAATAGCATTAATCAAGATGATAACAGGATCATACTCGATATATTTGTCTACAGGTTTCTGGCAGGATTTCTGAAATAATGCAAGATAACATTAGAATAAACATATTCATACATTCTGAAATCTTAAAGGATTTCAAAACCGCGGAGTCTAGTTTGGATTTGTATGGCAATAAGGTTATATCAGCATTTATTTAAATAAACTTCCATTCAGATACAAGATGTTCATCTGCATAAGACCTGGTTTCAGAAATGCCTAAATAGAATCTTCTAGGCTAAAAATATTAATCTTTTAATCTCATATTTAAGAAGACCCAAAAGATATTTCATTTAAAGACTGATTTTAGGCAGGAAAGTATCTCAGAGCACGCTACTTTCAATTTGTAGGAATTATTATAAAATAAGTAAGTTTATAATGTACCTTCATTGCCTGTTGGCTAGATGGCCCCAACTTTGTGGTTCTTGAAACATGATTTGGAGAAAAGGGTTCAGAAAAGTAACCCTGCACCCAGAGCTTCTGAGAGCTCCAGGCAGGTAGGAATCCTCGGGTGGCACATACCAAGAGAAGCCTGTCTTTCTCTCCATGGAGAACATGGCAAGAAAATGGTCCTTCTCTGCCATAGTAGACAGTGGAGAACGCTGGCTGTATGCAAGGAACGGGGTTGTGCCGCCTGATTCTGAGTTGCCCAAATCAAGGCTCCCTGGGCTCTCAGCCATTCCTATTAAAGGGCTTTTTTTTTTTTTTTTTTTTGGACACGTGATTACAATGTTATGAAATCCCAATCCCATCAGAACATATAAAATGCAGGTATAGGAGAACAAGCTCATTAGAAATGACATTTGAGAGAGTATTAGCTACAAAGTTGCATCAAATGTCCTATTCACTGCATAAACTAATGGCTACAATTGAAACACAAAACATTTTGAAACATTGAGGGGATAAAATAGAAATAGAAGAAGTGATGGATATGCACACATACCAGGATGGCCTTTTAATTATATCAAAGTGCTAGAAGAAGAATGGAGTGCGTTGAAGAATATGAACCCTGCCTTCCCAATGTCACGAAGTTAGATTCAATTCCAATTTAAAGCTTCTCCACTTCACTCATGTCATTACAAGAAGTGTGTATGTCTGTCTAGTCATCAGGTGAACCAATGAAGGGAGATGTGCTATTACTCCAAATTTAAATCCACCTAATAGATCTGAGGTTTAAGAGGTTAGGCTTTTTAGCTGAGCAAAGAGTAAGCCAGTATCTAAACAGAAGCCACAGAATCAGAAATTCTATATACATGACAGAGCTGTTTTCTAGAACCTCTCCCTGTGCTCCTCATGTGGAGAACACTTCCTCTCTTTATACAAATGAGAACGGAAGACCAGAGATGCTACTTCACTTTAAAATGAAACTGCAGACTGGTCAGGGATCCTCTCTTTGTCCTTTAAAAGTTCCCTAAAACCCATCTTCTGACAGCATCACAAGTCTAAGACGGGCTTTGGACAGTTTTTAGAAGGAGGTAGGCAGAAACCAGCAGCAGGAGACACAGCAGCGTAGTTACTCCTTTTGCAATCATTTGTCTGACATACGTGTTTGGAGTGCCTATTACACTCACAACAGCTCTCTTTACTTAGCCATGTCTATGGACCAGGCACTTCCACAGTGCTAGATACTTTCCTTGAGACATAGGCTCTACCCTCAAGGACCTTACAGTTTAGAAGGGGAAGTCAAATAAACATGCTACTGTAAGTGCTACAATGGAATGAGCACAGGGTGACATGAACCCCAACAGAAGAGGCAGCTGCTGGTATCATGGGACATGCTATGCGCTATGCCCATCTCCCCTTCCCAACATGCTGAGTAGTTTAGAAACACGGAGAATTCATTAAAGTCTGCTGGTTCCCTCCCTATCAGTTTAGGCCACATTTTTTCCTTGTTCTGCTTCTGTTATTTGCTTTTCCCTTGAGTGCTTCCTTCACCTTGAACGTGATGAGTCAAACCACACACACACGCACAAAACGAACAAATGTGCTAAAACATCCGATTGGGAGATAGCTCAATGTGGTAGAAATGTTTTCTTATTCTGGCAAGATGGTTCTATTCCGTATCATTTATTACTCAACAGACAAGTATCCTGAAAGAGAAAGCTGTCCTCTAAGAAATCCCTGCAGCACAGGGACCGTGTACACCCTGGGAACTGAAATACTGCTTCCACCAGCTCAGTTTTAACATGGATATGGCTTAGTTTCTGCTGCTATGTTCTCTAATTCTATAATGAATCACATCTCTTTCAGAATATAAACTGGCCATTTTTTTTCATGAATATTCTTGCTGCTTCTTCCTTCCCATCATCTCCAGGACTAACCCCTTTCCCACTCATTCTCAAATTTTAGCTCCACAATAAGCAAACATATCTGAGAAGTGGAACCTGTGAGGGCAGTGCTGTCTTATTCATCTTTGCACCCAGCACCCAGGGGTGAAAGCTGCATCTTGTTGCCCTGAACAGAACTAAAACTTGAGACAGTCTCAAAGGAGTCTTGTTTTGTTTTGTTACCATAATGGATTTAGCAAATATCTGAGCACTTAAAATAGGCCAGGCTCCTCAGGATATTAAAAGTACAATATCTTTAATATAACTATAATAAATTGTGAGGCGCTGAAGCAGAGAGAGTGACTAAAAGCAAGGGACATGCTTCCATTAGAAGAAAGTTAGAGAAACACAGATAAGCAAGCTGGGAGAAATGGCAGGAAAAAGCAAGAAGAGCAAAGGGAAGGGAGATTAGAATGAAAAATACTGGTAGGAGATCAGGCCGAGTATACTGCTGACTCCAAATACAGCAGAGAAGAGATCAAAGTACCTATAAGTTACCGGCTGTAACCACTTAGAAACTTTGTATATTTTTTTCCCAACAAAGAGCCTGATGTCTAAATAAACACTTTTTCCTTTTAATCCCAGGACTTGGGCTGCCTTTACAAAGTTAATAATTTATGGTTTGATTTTCAGAGTCTGGCATCACATGAATGATTTGTCTGAGTAATGCAATCATGCATATCATTAAGCATTAGCATGATATAAACAAGGATACTACCTACTCTGTTTCATTAGGGAATGACTGTGTACAGTAATCCATAATGTACAGTACCACCGTTCAGTATTCCAAATACTACTCTAAAATCTGTCTCCTGGGTGAGAAAGTGCAATGTCTGGGGGAAAAAAGTGGGGGGAGAGTATAGCTGTTGACCTAAACAGCTATCCAATAATTATTTTCTCTTTACATAAGTAAAGGTATAGAGAAGCCAGTGTCTGATGATTTGAACAGGGATTTTGTTGTTGTTAGCTTAATGCCAATATTTTTTTAAAATACAGATTACATTACAAATCACTGCTAACTAAAATGCATAGGCATTTACTAGCTTTTCTTTGGACAAACTATATTCACAGTTACGTGGCTGTCGTCTTTTAGACGGGCCATTTAATTGGACTAGTCCAAAGCCATTAAGTCTAGACCACATATAACTTACTGTTCTCTCATACCAGGATGGCCTAGGATATGATCATCTAAAAAACCTAGAAATGGTTCACTCATTCAACAAATATTTAATACCTACTATGTGTCAGACACTGTCCTGGGTGGTCCAATTACATTAATGAATAAAATATACACAATCTCCGTCCTTGTGTTGCTTACATTCCAGTGGGAGGAGACAGGCAATAAATAATAAAGTCGATTATATACAATATTAGAAGATGATAGGTACTATGGAGAAAGATAAGCAGGGAAGGGTGATAAGGTATACCAGCCTTGAAGGGGGGCTCATCATTTTTAATAGGGTGGTCAGAGTAGGCCTCTCTATAAGATATTCGAGAAAAGTCCTTGAAGGAGGTGAGGGAATGAGCCACACAGATACCTGAGAGAAGACTGTTCCAGGCAAAGAATTTTTACTTCCTCATTTTTGGTTTTTATATCACCAACGTCTAGCATCGTACTTTGCACATAATACTCTACATGCAAAAACCACAACGGATGAAGCTTGAAAAAGTATTCTAGGAGAATTTACTATAGGTTATGAAGTGTAAAGATGGTAACATCTATCAAAGGGAGAATAAGAATGAAATAGCTTTGGCGTGAGCCCAAATGTCACCCTAATCCGATCTTTAAATTTCTACGCACAACACCTGCATCCATCTCCGTCCGAGGATTCGTTCGCCCGGAGCAGCAAACGTGACCGGCATGAGAAAAGCGCTGTAGGGTATGACTTCTCTACCACTATAGGGATTCATGCAAAGGTTCTACTGAGCAGGAACGGGAATGTCAAGCATCGAACTGAAGTCTGTATTAGAGGACCCTGAAACTCGTTGGTTTTTTATTTTTAGCACCCTAAAAATCTGGTAGAGGTACCATGGGCTCTCGCGGTTCCCAAACCTCGCTGCGCCATTTCTTCCCCAAGGACAGCCCACACCTGACAACTCACACAGATGGTTATCTTCAGCACGCCGTGGCTGTAGTCTCGGTACAACTCCTTGGCCTCTTGGTTGCATTCGATGCACCTGTACTGGCAGGAGGCCGAGGTAGCAGCAGTAGGAGGAGTCACTGCCACCCCATCCGTCTTCCCCTTTCCAGCCGTCACCCCTTCGGCGTTCCCCTTGCCGGGCCGAAGCCCACTCCGCCCATCAGTGCTCATTTCCACGCAACTGCGGGCGAGAACTTCCGATTCAGTGGCGGGGAAGACGTCAGACGCCAGACCGGAAGCCTTGCGCGGCGCGGTGCTTACCGGGACTCGCAGTCCCAGCACTGAAAAGGGGCTCGCAGGCTGGCCGAGCTGGGACTACAACTCCCAGGAGGCGTTGCCACTCCCCTTCTCCCGCCCCCTCGCCACGGCCCACCTGCCAGCCGCAGGTTCAGGCTGGGAGGCCGCAGTGCGCGGCTAGGGCCGCCGCACATGCGCCCTGAGGGAAGATGGCACCTGCCGGCTGCTGGTGCTGCGGCTGCTGGGGCGGCGCTGTGGCCGCCGCGGGCGCCGCCCGGCGAGTCTTGGTTCTGCTGCTGCTGCTGCTGCTGCTGGGGGTTCTGTCCAGGGGGCCGCGACCGGGCGCCCTAGCCACCGAGCACTACTCGCCGCTGTCCCTGCTCAAGCAGGAGCTGCAGCACCGGCAGCAGCAGGAGGCCCCGGCGGGCGGCGGCTGCAGCCCGCAGTCCGGGGACTGGGGGGACCAGTACTCTGCCGAGTGCGGCGGTGAGTGGGCGGCGGCGGCGGCGGCGGGCGGGCGGGCGGGCGGGCGTCCGGGTTGCCGCGGAGCGCCGGCGCGGCGGGTCCGGGGACTGCGGGCCCCGGGGCCGATGTGTGGGCCGCCCGGGCCTCGCCGGCACCGGCCGCGGCGTGTGTCCCTGCGGGAGCCGGCTCCGCGAAGTGTCACGCCGGGGCTGCTTCCCGCCGCTCACACCCACGCCGCTGCGCGCCCTCCTCCCGAGGCCGCCGTGGGGAGGCCGGTGGATAGTGAAAAGAGCTGACAGCATGCCCCCGAGGCCAGGGCGGCCTCTCTGCAGCCCTGGCAACTTTTGAGAGGGTGGAGGAGGAGATGGCAGGTGGCCCGGGGCAGCCCCAGTCCCTGCTCTGGCCCCCGCGGGTGCTGTGGGAGCGAGGGAGGGACCGACGGACAAAGAGGACCGGACCCGCGCCCGGAGCGGGACTGTCTGGCCCATCTTAGGCCTGGAAATCAGGTTTCCTGACCTCCCGATTGACGTATTGTATCAAACATAGTCTGTAAAAATGTGATCCCAGGGAAGAAAGGAGGGAACAGAAGAGTAACCCCATTGAATCTGTTCATTGACATCTTGCTCCCAGGCGTTTTAAGGTTGACCTGTGATCTGTCAGGTGTCTCCCAGAGAGTCAAAAGGGCCCTGCGGGCCTGTGTACGTCAGAGCTGTGTGTGTGTGGGAACTGGGCCAGTTCATTCATTAAGATTGGGCGCTATTGGCCTCAGTTTAAGGTCCTGGGCAGATTCCTCAGGGGCAAGGTAGATATGTACATGTTTCGTTTTGAAGGTCTGTAGTGAGTCTTTTTACTGTTTAATCCCCTCCCTTGTCCTTTCCCTTTCCTCTTGCCCTCCGTGAGTTCCCCTAAGGCTCGCTTTTGAAACGTCCGGGTCTACCTAACTCACTAGGAGCTGGCTGCTTGCTTTTATGGCCTGACAGCAGTCTAGCATTGTGTACCTGGGAAGACAATAAGTGTTTTTTGGTTGAGATGAAATGTCGAGGTTAGCACAGTCAGTCTGATTTCCTTTCAGCACAATCTGACTTCCTTGAGGACGTCTCGCTCACCGAGGGCTATGTGACTTCTGTATTTTGAAGTAAGCCGTGGCTGGTAAGCCTCTCCCGTTGCGGAGCACAGGCTCCGGATGCGCAGACCCAGCGGTCACAGCTCATGGGCCTAGCCGCTCTGCGGCATGTGGGATCTTCCCGGACCGGGGCACGAGCCCGCGTCCCCTGCATCGGCAGGTGGACTCTCAACCACTGCGCCACCAGGGAAGCCCTTATTTGAGCATTTTTTAAAGGACACTTTGGCCAGCCAAAAAAACGAAAGCTTTTCCTAGGGTACTTCCTGGTGAGTAATAATGAGTCTCAGTCAACGTGTGACGGGAGATGTTTGTTATGGAGATTGTGACAACAAATCCCTGAGGAGGCTCTGGATGGCAGCTACCCCAGAAGTTTCACTGCAGTTGCTGTGGAGCCCTGGGCCTTGGCTCTCTCTCCTGGAAAATTGTCTTGGGGTGTCCCAACTTTCTGCGGCAGGCAGTGAATGAAGTATTGTCACATCAGTCGTTAGCTCCAAACTGGAAAAAAACCCCGCTAATGTTGTTTTTTTTAAATGGAAGCTATGAATGAAACCGCTTACTCTTGACCATAACTCGGGTCTGTTTAAATAGAACATTTAGTCTGGAACCGTACATAGCATCCATACGTGCACAGATGGATAGTACATAGATGGGTCTTTGTTTCCCTTTCATATCAACTGATGTTTGGGCCTCGGCCCAAGAAGGAAATAAACACCACCTCCTCTGTGACATTTTGCTGTTGTTAAGACAGCCAAGAGCGCGTAACTCCTTTCGTGTTCTCTTCTCATCTCACTTGCTAACAGGCCTCCCTTTTATCAGCGACTGCGGTGGGGGCCCCTTGGCCACAGCCAGGTTGTGGTTTTGCTGCCCACTCCCCTTCACCGATCCCGGCAGTAATTATGAGCCATTTGATCCAAATGCATCTGCTGTGAGAACCCGCGGAGTTTCAGTGTTCTCTCCTTGAGGCACACGGGGCAGAAGTAATTTGACATGTGCTTTCAGGACCATTAATATGATAGTAATAAGAAATGCTTCTGTGGAAGTTGCCCTACCCTGAGGGTGGAAGTGATTTGCAAACCTTAACTGTAGTGGCCGCAGTGGCCTCGGCTGCAGTTCAGTGATGTTGCATTTTGTGCGTGGCCGCTCAGCGCTGGACCACGCAGTGGTCTGGGCACCGGTAGTCACCATGATTCCCCAAGGTTTTGAAACAAGGGGTGATTCTCATGCGGTTCTTTATAGTGGCCATTGTTGAATTACGGTGGTCAAGCCTACTATAGTGTAATTCCACAGTCCACACTGAACTTCAAAAAAGATCTTTTACATTGTTTATGGCTCTTTACAGTTTATGTAGTACCGTAACAGCATGAACTCCATGGCCAGCACTGCACAGTGGCAAGAGGATGGCTTTTACCCTCTGTCACTTTCTGTGACTCCAAGCAGGTTGATTGCCTGTCTTTGCAAAATTGCCTCCTCTGTAAATTGAAGACACTGTTCCCCAATTACAGGGTTTTATTTTCTTCACAAGGATGCCGTGAGGGAAATGGGAAATCGTGATCGTACACGTACGCGGTGCTTGCTGTGTGCCCTGTGCCGTTGTGACAGCCTTAGGTTGGTTAGGCAGTACCCTCAGCCTGTCAGAGCGCTGGTAACTACATCATTGGGTGGTAGCTCCTTTTCTCAGAGGAGAAGATGGGGGCACAGTGAAATCATCACTTTCCTGAGGGCCCACAGCTGGAAGGGGAGGAGCCCAGGTGGTCAGACTCCAGACAGCATTTGTCTGAAGCACTCAATGATTATAGTTAGGGAAAAAGCATCTGTAATATTTACAAGCATACAGTAGGTAGTGTGTAAATCTTGCTTTCCTTTCCCTCTTGTATTCATGTGATGCTCACTGGCTAAGGGAGACCCAGATGCTAGGCGATGAAAGATACAAATTATGAAATCAATTGATACTATTGCTATAGGTGGCTCATTTCACTTTGTAGCGTCAGGCTTACGCCAATGGTTAAGAGTCCTTGTTTGAGCCACCTCTGACTTGTATTATGCTTTTCACCCAAATCATGATAAATGTAGGTTGTTAGAACCGGGGCATTTGGGGGAATCCTGTTCATTCTCCGTTCCCTCACATCTGGACACCATTATCTAATGTCCTCTGCTTCAGAGGATAAACACTGTATTCTGAGGCTTTAAGCATAATTTATTTAAAGGTTTCCATTTTCTCTTTAACCCCTCCGTGTAGTACTTATTTTCTTAGTTTAGAATTAAGAACGTGCTGTTGAAAATTGGTGACACGTCTTCCAGACGGCCTTCCCTGGGCTGACGTGAGTGTCCCAGTGGCTGCCGACAGGTGCTGCAGTGGCTTTGCTGTTCCTGTTCCCGCGGCCACCTCAGGAAATGACTCCCAGGGTCAACTGCTTATGCTACCTGGGCCTCCAGGTGTTCCGCTTAGCTTTGCTGGCTGCAGTGTGTGACAAAAGCCGTCTCTTTTGTGGTAGAAACTCACCCACCTGTCTCTCATTTCTCCTTCCTTGTCCTAGACAGCCAGGTAGAAGCAAGTGAAACCTGCCTCGGTCCCTCTCTGTTCCAGGAAGAACAGCAATTCAGGATTTACAGCGAGCCAGATTGTCGCCTGAGGGGTTCATGCTCTGCATCGAGAGCCCCCATATGGTCAGCATTAGGGTCTAAGCAAGTGCCGGGATCCAGAACTGATCAGTTATTCAGAATCAAGCCCTGCCCTCACCAACTATTTATTAATCACGTCACTGGCCCTGCTGGCTCATCCAGCCCAAGCCTATCCCTATGCAGAGGGCAGCCGCGGCTGCACAGCCACTTTTCAGAAGCCTGCCCCCTGCTTTTGGGTATAAATGACTGAGTTAATGCCTGCATGGGTCTGAATCTGCACACCTTCAGATGAGCTGCGTATGTATTCTCTTAAGGCAGAACCTCCAGTGATTGTAGGGCCGAAGAGGACGGCTGGTGGGAGCTGTCTGGACAGCAAAATGACAGTGGCCGGAATCCAGGCCCCAGGGAGCAGCCTCAGGGGGCCCAGCTGCCCAGACGGCAAGCACGGGTGATCTCAGTGCCACGGACCTCAGCCCCCCTTCAGCTCTTTCTCCTCTAGCACGTTTTTACATTTCGCTTTTTATTTGAAAAGCATGTGTAACCACAGACTTCGGATATTCTGTTTTCCCATGGTGAAAATTACCTTGCTCTTTTAAAAACACGAACACTGTAATGTACATATTTTTCAAATAAAAGTAAATGTCCCCTCCCTTCCTTGTTACCTTTGCCCTGTTTGTAGTTTGGAACTGTGGGAAGAAATAAGGAACAGAAGTTTTCCCCTAATTCTTTCCCTCGGGTTTATCCTTGTCAACACTGCATCCTTATTTCGCACAGTACTTGACACTGAAGTAAGTACTGTTTTTGTCTCCATTTCAGGTAAGGGGAAACTGAGGCAAAGAGAAGTTAAGAATGGTCACGCAGAGAGTCGAGCCAGGATTTGAACCTGGCCTCCCGACCGTTTGTAAACTTCCCGTCAGTAATATTTGCGTGTTAGTATAATTTCGTACTAATATAATTGATAAAGTCCTATGCCCTTAAGCTTTGTTGCAGGCTATAGTCTTAGGTAACTTGTCCTAGAATTTTATGTTTACGTTATGTGCAAGGATGCTCCATTGAGCCTAATACTTGAACCGTAGAGGGGACTGGATCTGTTCTTTTTTTTAAAGATTTATTTATCATTTATTTTTAAATTTTATTTACTTCGGCTGTGTTGGGTCTTAGTTGCAGCACGTGGGATCTTTGTTGAGGCATGTGGGATCTTTCATTGCGGTGTGTGGGCTCTTCATTCTGGTGCGTGGGCTTCTCTCTAGTTGCGGCGTGTGGGCTTTCTCGTCTCTAG